GCCTTCTGCCCTGCACCCCCCCCACACCCCAGCTCTCTGCCTCGACCCCTGAACCCCACACACACACCCAGCCTTCTGCCCTGCACCCCCCCCACACCCCAGCTCTCTGCCTCGACCCCTGAACCCCACACACACACCCTGCACTCCCACACACCCCTAGACCTGACCCCTGTACCCCCCACACACCCAGCTTTCTGCCCTACACCCCTCACACCCCACTGCCCTCTACCCTGACCCCTGAACCTCCCCCCACACCCAGCCTTCTCCTCTGCACCCCCACACACTCCCAGCCCTCTGCCTTGACCCCCCACATATACCCAGCCTTCTGCCCTGAACCTCCCCATGTCCCCACTTCCCTCTGCCCTGAACCCCCTGCCCTGTTACATACAACAATAGTTTAGTTATATAATATAGACTTATAGAGAGAGACCTTCTAAAAAATGTTAAAATGTATTACCGGCATGCAAAACCTTAAATTAAAGTGAATAAATGAAGACTCGGCACACCACTTCTGAAAGGTTGCCTACCCCTGTGGTATAGCATTGCCACGCTTTCTTCTGCGCTGCTGGTGGGGCGCTTCCTTCAGAGCTGGATGCCTGGTTAACAGCCACCACTCTCCGGCCGCCCAGCTCTGAAGGCAGCACAGAAGTAAGGGTGGCAATACTGCTACCCCCCCTAAAATAACCTTGTGAGCCTTCTGCAACTCCCTTTTGGGTCAAGACCCCCAATTTGAGAAACGCTGGTCTCCCCCGTGAAATCTGTATGGTAGAGGATAAAAGCACACAAAAGACCAGATTTTGCGGGGGGAGGGGGGCGGTTGGAAGGGGGAGAGACGGTCCGTGATGCATTTTTCATGGCCGTGAATTTGGTATTGCCTTAATGATTATGAATGCCTATGATCTGACACAGTTTAAGATTATTTCTGTATGAGAAGATTATGTCAATGTAATAGCGTAGATGAATACCACCTGCTTCGAATCCAATTCTACTTTCGCTTACACAACTGAACACCACCATTCACCTGAACAACCCCGTTGAATGGGACAGATTCAAATGGGGTATAAGTGAGGGAAGAAATGAGACTTGAAAGTCAGAGCTTCTGAGACTTACATTGTGAAATTCATGGAGGATAGGTGCATCAATGGCTACTAGCCAAGATGGGCAGGGATGGTGTCCCCAGCTTCTGTTTGCCAGAAGCTGGGAATGGGCAACAGGGGATGGATCACTTGATGATTAACTGTTCTGTTCATTCCCTCTGGAGCACCTGGTATTGGCCACTGTCGGAAGACAGGATACTGGGCTAGATGGACCTGTGGTCTGACCCAGTATGGCTGTTCTTATGAAATTATAAACACAATTTTCTAGAATTATCAGTGCCTTGATTTCCAGGATGCTACAACCCAAAAAACAATGGATGGATCACAACTCAGGCTTATTTAAAACACAGTAAAGAATAATTAAATAAAAACTTGGCACATACCCACTTCGGCCAAAGTTTTGATACATGACTCCACTGAGGCTTTCTGTGCAGGGTTCGGCCAGGTACAGTTGTAAATTCTAAACGCAGACTGAAGCAGTTGAATAAAAACTGGCTGATGTGTCTGAAAACAAAAAGGTAAACAGCTAATTTTAGGGTAATTATAAGGATGATTTTAAGTCTAAGTTATGCGCCACATAAATTACATGCATGACTTTTAGCCTCTATACTCAAATTAGAACTCAATTAAACCATCATCACTCTTCAGTACAGGATGCAAAATAAACCAGTTTGGCATTCTTATAGAGTGTGTCAAACCATGCAGTCCTTACTCAATCAAAATTCCCATTGATATTAAACAAAATAGCATACTGCAGGAAAAAAATGGGGAGATTTCTTGGGTTCCAAACACATGGGAAACTTTCCAACTTGGGCCACAAAGATTTCCTCTTTTAGAAACACAAACAAAAGTGCCCCGATCTTGCAAAGAGATAGTCACGCAAAGGCCCAATGAAGTCACAAAAGTCAGATGTGAAGTTCTGTGGAGAAAGAGTCCTTTGCTGGATCAGGGACATCAGGAGTACAATTTGTCAAGGGCATATTTACAGGAGGCGTTACACTGTTAGTGCGAATCATGAGGAGTGAGAGGAAATAAAGGAGGAAAGAAAGTTGCAGCACTCCCCTCCAGCGAGTGGAAGATGACTCCATTAATTATCTGAATTACATATTTGTTGCAGTCTCCCTTGTTCTTACCTGGAGGCTGGTGCTGTTATCTGAAAACGGAGAACTGAAGAAGCCACTCACAATGTTCATTACTGGTTCAGTGACATACTTCTCCAAAGAGGTGTCTGCATGTTTCCGGTCTGTAGTTGTGTTGCAAACCTACAATGAAAACGAAAATATTAGTTTTTGTTTACTTGTGATCTTTTAACATTTTAAAAGAGAGACACACACAAACAGTATTGATATTTAATCCTTTTTCAAAAATGTTAATTTTTATATTAAACATAGAAAATCAAGATACCTACTTTGTGGTCAAGTTGTATTCTGTTTAATTATCTTTGTTCCTGGGAGCTCCACTCCACCTGATCCCCACCTTTCCTGAACTAGATCCTCCAGTTGAGTTGGCTACTCTTTCCCTCACCATGAAACAAAGGAGTTTGTTGGATAACACTGGTCATTACTATAGGCCCACACATTACATGCCACCTTACGTATCTAGACAGACTCGGGAGGAAAAAGGATCATTCCTCCAGGTGAGTTGGAGGAGACTTTAGAGAGAGATGGAAAGATAAACCTACTATATTAGAAGAGTGAGAAAGATCTCATATGGTGCTGAATTTGGAGCTGGTTTCAATTATTACAGCCAGATGGGAACGATGGAGCTCCTTCAAAGGAAGAGTTTTAAAAACCAAAACCAAACAAGCAAACAAAAAAGGAAAAGTACGAAGCGAGCACAGCCATAACAAAAGCAAAATCCTATCCGTTCAGTCAGCAGAGGCCAGCAGCAGCCTCCGTAGGAACAAACTGCAAAAACAGTCAAAGACCCACCCACTCTGCCAGGTGAGCTACATGGTAGAGTCATCATGTCACAATGTTAAGTGTAAGATGTGCAAAAGGGAAGGAAGAAGGAGAAGAGGGGAGAGGAGGACACTGGGAGAGGGTTGGAGCTGAACTGAAATACTTCTTAAGGCCAATTAATGGGCTGTAGAAGAATGTGGAATGATTCAAGTTCTGTACAGTATCCCAGAAGAAAACATTCTTGTACAACATTCATCATTTTATGCTGCATGTATTTATTATGGTAAAAAAATTGAGGATTTTTTTTGGTGGGGGAGGAGATTTGATAGCTAGGGAACTGAAGAACAGAGAAAAACTCATTGGCAGGGCTAGAAAGAGCATAAAGACCTGTATCCCAGGTCAGGCCATCCATCCTTCTGATTATGCAGTACTGTAGTAGCACATGAACCTCGTAAGCCAGAAACTCTAGCAATATAGTCAGAGGTGTTTAAAGGAAGTTTATGGAGACTTCAAACAGCACCAGTCATTGCTGGAAGATGAACAAGTCACTCACCTACAGCAGTAACAATGGTTCTTCAAGATGTGTCCCCCTATGGGTGCTCCACTGTAGATGTGCTTGCATCCTTTTGCTACTGATCAGAGAACTTTGGTAGCAGCATCCGTTCAGTCTGCACATGTGCTGTTTCTCCCTTGTGCTCTGCCACAAGACTGACCAGCACTGCGCAAGCAAACTCTCCTCAGTTCCTTCTCTATTGCAGAATCCATGATAAGAACTCCAAGGTAGAGGGGACGAGGGTGGGTCATGGAGCACCCATGGGGGGGGGACACATCTTGAAGAACCATCATTACTGCACAAGGTGAGTAACTTCTTCTTCAAGTAGCATCCCAATGGGTGGTCCACTCTAGGTGACTCCAGAGCAGTCATGGAAGGCTGGTGCTTTGGAGTTGTAAGCCACTCTCTTAGCTAGGTTTTGAAAAAGTTTAAAAAACCTTCTGCTAAGGACAATGGAGGGGGCATCACTGCCTCATCTGGTGAGGAAGATGAGATGTTGGTCTAAGGTGTAATTTCTTCTTCAATATCAGCTTCCTGTTCCTCCATCACCTCTTGAGGGCACTTCATAGGTTCCTAGTGGGCCATGCTAGAACTTCGGGAGGCATGATGTCTATATGCCTGCCATGGATCCCAATAAGGCCACTTGGATGGTGGCAACCATTGTTGTCCATACCAGGGAAGCTGAGAATCAGACTGACAGTATGGCTGAGGAAGTCCAGATTGGTAATGAGCACTATAAGGATCCTGGAAAAGGCTTGCTTGATTGTAATGTATAAGAATAGCAAGGCATGGAGCGCGTGTAGTGTTTTTTCCCCAACAGCAAGAACGGGAAGGGTTATGTAGACAGAAAAGCAACAGTAGCTATAGCATAAAACTGAGATAATAAACCCACTAGTGTCAGTAGAGGTGTGACATTTTTCCCACAGCTCTAGTGGAGGTAAACGAAGGTTCAGTTACTAATCAACACTTTTTGAAAAGATCACAGATCTAAATCCATCTGGATGTGCTTCTGCCTTTAAGCTGCATGCCAATTTCTGCTGGAACCAGTAGCTCTGAGGCTCAACATTCAGGATCCCAACAGGAATACAGGGAGCTGCACGGTGCTGGCATGGCGATTTTACCAACTGCCAAAACTAAATTGCAAAATGCTTTGAAGATTTCCCCCTTACTTGTCTAAAAAAGCACTGCTGGAAAGCCATTGAAGGGGTCCATCTTCTTCCATCACAGGTCCCATAACAGAATGGCAATCCTATGATCCATCCCTTATTATCTCCCACCCTTTATTGGATCTTGAATCCAATAACAAAACTGGTCAACATCTCAAATGGAAAAAAGAAAGAAATCCAGCCGGAGGATACCACTAGCCATCTTCCACCTTAGCGCTCTCTAATAACACAGACTCCTAGTTCCCAGACTCACCACTGACAGGCAGTTGTAGCAGCTAAAAGAAAAGCATTTCCCTCCCTCCCTCCCCCCAATGGCAGCTCTTTTAGCTCACGGGAACATAGAGAATCAAAGGATTCTTCTTTCTAACTATTTTGAGAGCTGCCATAATATCCTTTCATGAAGCTAAGAGCCTTCTAACAGTCCTGATGGCTACATAAAGCTGATGTATTTGCAACATGTGGACACTGCCTCAGCCCCGAAAAGCAGGTCTCAGCAAATACACTCAACAATCTAGAAAATTTGGTTACCCAGAGGGCCTGGCTGAAGCTTGGAACAGAAGAGAGCATTTTTGACATGCTCTTTTAGCTGATGGGGGAAAAAGAAAAGGAGCTACTAACCAGGAAAGAAAAGGAACTAATTAGGCAGCTACCCAGAGGGCTTTGCAGGACAGCAACACAAAAGTGCCCTTTTGCCATTCTTTTTCGGGGTGGGGGGAAGAGGAGGGGCCACACACACAAAAAAGAATATAGTGACGGTTAGTGGGCTAGGCAGCACAATGCATTAACAACACACTCACTGTTCCCCTCTGAAGATCTGGAGTTTAATTTCTCTTATTAGAGGACAAAATGCAAATGAGCTTGATAGTGCCACGCGTCGTACCTCCTCTATACCATTTGGCACAATTTAACATGATGGGTGGTCTCTGCCCAGGAAAGTCTCTGGGTTGGAGTAGCAGAATGTGTAGAGAAGTGCCTCCCTATATACGTTTGCTTCTATAAAAATGGTCCTATTACAGAGCTAAAACAAAGAGAGGTTTGTGGATGCTGCTACTGGAGGGTCAGAATTGCACCATGTCAGATAAGAGCAACCCCTCTGTGGGAAAGGGATTAAACAGAAGAAAATGCTGCTGGCTGTAAATCAGAGAGGTTAAAGCCCAGAATCCCCTCCAATGAAGTTTCTGATCTTCATTCTCAACTGAGCCTGGATTGCCCAGAAGGGGCCTCACTGTAGGAACAGCTACAGAAACAAGACAGACAGCAGCTGTGTAGGGTTTGCAGAGGTCTCATTACTGATGGCCTTCTCCAAAAGAGAGAAGCACACAGACATGGTCACATTATCCTGTTCCCTGAAACACTTAGCAAAAAAATGAATAAATAGAAATCTATTTGTCTGCTTCACAGAGAGGTGAAGAGACTTGAGCACCTATTGTACTGCACAAATATCTAAACTTATTCTTCTCTAGGCTATAAATCGTGCTAACTACAGGAGTGTGCTATTTTCTGCTGATAGGTTTCAAAGAAACTATTTCATGAGGCACTATTACTTTGGTGTGAAAGCCCACTGCAGAATTCAATTGCGGTTCTTTCACCTCTTTTTTTTATTTAAACTAAAGAAAACACAAGGAGTGAGAATTTAGTGCCATAAAATGTAAGGGACAAAGCCAGGCACCCAGTTTAGAGGTGTGCTGTAAAAGCAGAAAAGCTCTCACCTCCAAACAGTTGTTCTGCATCAGGGATTGAATCCAGGGCCTTCAGCACTAAAAGCATGGACCTCTACCGCTTAAACTAAAAGAGTAACTCCATTAGCATTAGTTGTAGGCTCTTATACTTATGCGGCTCAATCTCTAGAAAGGGGGCACGTAACACACACTAAACCACTGGGTTACACAAGCTTCCCCATGTCTCTGCTAGTGCATTTTAATCTTCCTAAACTTGCAAAAACACCTGTTAGTCTACCTCCTAGGCCTCTTGTAAGCAGAGACCATCAGTTATGACTATTCTTAATGTACTTAAATGGCAACTACGATGACACCAAGGCTATGTCTACACTAGCGCTTTTGTCAGTAAAATTTTGTCGGTCAGGGTGTGAAAAAAACCACCCCGACTGACGTACATTTCACCGACAAAAGTGCCAGTGTGGACAGCGTTTTGTCAGCGGTACACACTTTCCTGCCACCATAGATCCACCCCCAATGAGCGGCGGTGGCTTAATTATGCCAACAGAAGAGTTCTCTCCCACCGGCACAGAGCGGCTACACGAGACCTTACAGTGGCACAGCTGTAGTGCTACAGCAGTGCTGCTGTGAGGTCCGTAGTATAGACATAGCCCAGGAACCGCCTTTAGGCTCCAAACCTAGGCTTTCACATAATGCTTAGAGTACTAACGGACAGTGTCACATAGCCTGATGCCATAGGCAGTAAGAGCTAGGAGCTTGAAAAAGTGTGGAACTATACTTGCCACTTTTCTCAAGAAGCCGCACATGAAAAGGGACAGACAGTGATGTCAGTAGGATAAATCAGCTAGCTGAGGTGACCAACCAAGGATACAGTCTCTTGCCCTGTGAGCCCTACCATCCTAAGAGAGCACAGAAGCACCAAGGACAATTGCATTTTTAATGACCCGTATAACGATGCGTAATAAATGCTCCTAGACCCACAGTAATTATGAAATTGATCTTGCTGATATACACTGAGTCTCTCACACCCACAACCAGGCAAATCCAGTTTATACCTTTATCTTAAAAAAATTAAAAGATCTCCAGGGTTCTGATGTGCCTTGTTAAAAGGATGGCAGTGCTTGAGATAAAACAGGTTAAATAATTATAAGAAAACTGTAATCAAAATTATGCACCATTAAAGAAGATTTCATTCATTTCACTGTCTCATCCATTTGAAAATATGGTTAATAGAACATATGAAGTTCAAGCAGAAAAGTTATTGCCCATTCAGCTATCTTAAATGTGCATACTGTAATATGCAACGCATCATAAAACTTACCCTTGCCATATCAACAAGGAAGTTCTCAAATAATTTCCAAATGTGGTTACTAGCATAGATTTCCTTCATTTCCACCTCAGTGTCCACATAACAGTGATTAACAAAGTTCACATATGCAATCTTCACCTGTAAGAGCAGCAAATATAAAAAACCTCATGAAAATGTGACCATGAAAGCCATCAGCGTGTAAAATGTTTGAATGCAACTGTAATTTGACTTCCTTTTGCACATGCATTATGACACACTTGCCCAATATCAGGTATGAAGTCTGTAGCAGAGCTAGGAATACAACTCAGAATTTCCTGCATCCTAGTCTAGTGCTTTAAAATGAAGGGCAGAGTTGTTCCCTAGGAGAGTTCTGTGATGGGGCAGCTGCCCCTCACTGCTAGAAAAGGGGTTAAAGGTGACCAGACAGCAAGTGTGAAAAATCGGGTGGGGGGGGGGGGAGGAGGCGGGGGAATAGGCACCCATACAAGATAAAAACGCAAATAATCGGGACTGTCCCTATAAAATCGGGACATCTAGTCACCCTACCTGTCATCCAGTCCCAGCATCTGGCAGTCAGAGGCTTCAGAACACCCAGAGCATGGGATTACATCCCTGATCATCTTGGCTAATAGCCACTGATGGACCTATCCTCTATAAATTTATCTAATTCCTTTTTGAACCAGTTTTACTTTTGGCCTCCACGACATCCTCTGGCAATGAGTTCCACAGGTTGACTGTGTTGTGTGAAGAAGTACTTCCTTTTGTTTGTTTTAAACCTGCTACTCATTTCATTGAGTGACCCCTGGTTATTGTGTTACGTGAAGGGGTAAATAATACTTCCATATTCACTTTCTCCACACCATCATGATGTTATAGACTTGTACCATATCACCCCTTAGTTGTCTCTTTTCCAAGCTGAATAGTCCCAGTCTTTTTAATTCCTCCTCATATTGAAGCTGTTCTATTAATCATTTTTGTTGCCAGTCTCTGTACCTTTTCCATTTCCAATATATCTTTTTTAAAATGGGGCAACCAGGACTGCATACAGTATTCAAGGTGTGGGCTCACCATGGATTTATATAGTGGCATTATGATATTTACTGTCTTATCATCTATCCTTTCCTAATGGTTCCTAACATTGTTAGCTTTTTTGGTTGCTGCTGTACATTGAGTGGATGTTTTCAGAGCACGATCCATAATGACTTCAAGATCTCTCTCTTGAGTGGCAACAGCTAATTTAGACCCCATTGTTTTGTATGTATAGTTGGGATTATGTTTTCCAGTGTGCATTACTTTGCATTTATCAGCATTGAATTTCATCTACCTCATAGCACCCAATGTTGGGGGAAGCAATGGAGTGGCCAGACCACAGGGCATTTCAGCAATTCTGGGCTATGGAGAAGCCCATAAGCTTCTCCATAGCCCGGGGGGAGGGATAGCTCAGTGGTTTGAGCATTGGCCTGCTAAACCCAGGGTTGTGAGTTCAATCCTTGAAGGGGCCACTTGGGGACCTGGGGCAAAATCAGTACTTGGTCCTGCTAGTGAAGGCAGGGGGCTGGACTTGATGACCTTTCAAGGTCCCTTCCAGTTCTAGGAGATGGGCTATCTCCATTAATTATTATTTATAACTAGGTAACAGTGCTCTAAGTTAGGGTTGCTACCCACTCTAGCTTATACTGGTGTCTTGGCTGGTCCCTTAAACAGCCCAGAATCTGGGATGCACAAAAGTAACTTAAAGTCCTGCTGCACGCTCTATGCTATATCGTTTAGGGGAGGCAGTACTGAATATGGTCCCAGGTTCTATACCCAGCTTTGCTAGAAGTGTCCTTGTGCAACCTCGCAGCTACCTCAGCTGTAAAATGGAGGAATGATACCTGCCTGCCCCCCGAAGAGTTATGAAGCCTGGCTCAATTAAAATAAAAAAAAAAGAGTGTAAGGTACATATAATTATTAATACCAGTCAGGAGAAGAAATAAGACTAATTCAGTCTCCTCCTGGTCCATAGTACATCCCACCTAGGCCAAAGAAGAGGGTGGCAGCTGTAGCTGTTATTGCTGCATAATCCTGCCAACTGGAACTCTAGCGCTGTGCCTGGAACGTGCTCGTGCACCTGGCACGTTAGGGAGATTTGTAGAGCTGGTGCATTCTCAATGCAGATGAAACGTTAGAGGTTTGCCACTAAAATCTCTACTGAGCATTAGCCATTTTCAGAGGCTTCCGACTGCCGAATCCGGGTGTATTTTCATGGCATATTTCTGATGACAGGATCATTGCTTGTTAAATTCAAACTCCTGATCCAAATCCTGGCGGCACCAGAGCACTTCAAAGAAACGGCTGGAAAAATGTAACATGGGCAAAACCCTCTATTTTCCCTTGGGCGTCTCAGCCGCTTCTGCGGAAACTACCAAAATAACTGCAGCTTGAGGTAGAGCACAAAGATGGAAAATGTCAATTCTTATGGCAAATTTGGCAAAGATACAAGGAACTGAAAATGGGAACTATTAATGGCAAAAGTGTTGGGCAGCCTTAATAATAGGTGTCTCTCCCAGATCATCCTGTAACACTAAATGGGGATTCAAAATTTAGGCAGATTAATGCTCTAGGGTCTCTTGTATTTAGAGTCTTTGGAATGTGCAGAGAAGGAAACTTTGTAAGGCCATTTCACAGAAAGTTCAGTCTGCTATTTGCATACAGCCATGCCACCTTCCCTGCTTTCTCTTTTCAACTCTTTCAACTCCTCTAATGCTCACCATCTGCATGCAACATAGTAACAGGACTGCAGCCTTTGGAATTTAACGAAGTGGTTCACTGCTCACAATAACACATGATCTATGCTCGCCTTTCTGTACAACTCACTCAATATATTAAGTTATGATATAATGCCATTTATTTGCAAGGCATTTTGCAGAGAGAGATTACGACAATCTCCCAAAAGCCTACAGTCTAAGCCAGGACAAATAGGACAAGGTAACAGACACCAGTTTAGACAAGGGAGGATGTGGGGATTATTAATAAAGAGAAGACAGGATGGACTGCTTATGTCTCAAGGGGGAGAGCTGAAGAAGAAAGGGTGATTGGCAGAGGAAGAGATGAAGAGCAATAAGGTGAGAAGACTGGGAAGAGTAATAGAACAAGAAAGGAAGTAGGTGGAAAAGACAGCAGAAATGTCTTTGGAGGCAAAATTACATACAACCTTGCAGGTGAGGAACAGAAGCACAAACGAGATACAGAAAGACAGGAAGCCAATGCAGAATTTGAAGAAGAGTAAAGGGCAAATGATGTCAGCAGTAGCATTTTGGACTGACTGAAATGTGCCAGTTGATGTGCCGAACAGCCAAACAGGAGGTTACAGTGATAAAGAAAAGAGGACCTGAGAACGATGGGGGGACAAAGAGAAAAGGGGTAGATTTAGGTGATGTTAAAAAGGAAGAAATTACAGGATCTCAAAAGAGACTGGATTGGGACCAGGAGCAAGAGGATTCAGAAGAGAGTAAAGATTAGACAAAGGCTGCAGGCCTAAGAGACAGAACGAATAGTAGAATTGCAAAGAGAGGGAGAAGAAATGTGTTAGGAGGAAAGATAAGCCCAGTTTGGAGAGAAGGAATCTGAGATGGCAACTGGACAGCCGGCAGATGTGAAAGTTATCTTCAGGCATTTGAAGGCCTGGCGGGTCTCTAGGCACAGTGAAAACTTGCAGGTTTACAGAGGATGCCAGTTACAGGGGCGATGACCTTTGAGAAGTTTGGAATAAACCTCCTGTAAAAGTTGGCAAACCCCATGAACCTTTGGATGTTTTGGATGCTCCAGGATTTGGCCCAATCCTGAACTACAGATACTTTCTGAGGGTTTATCCACTGACAGGCTGAACCCCAAAAATTCCATACGAGTGCTGTAGCTTGCTCCTGCAAGGAACATTTTCCCATCTGCAGCTGTTGTACTTTGTCCCTCAATTTCTGGTTTTCTGCTTGGAGGGCAACAATCTACTCCTGTGGACTCTCAGGGCCCTGGAGCGATGGCAAGGCGAGAACCCCTGCGATGTCCATACTCAGTCCTGGGATTCAATGATAAGTCTCGGAGGAGACTGAGGTTGGTCTGAGCAAGCTGTCAGGGCCCCTAACATGGGTGATCTGACCTAGTGGTCTGATCCAGGAGTAATGTCCAGGTTGGGATAATGCCAAGGATCAAAGCCAGAGTGAGGAAGCAGGAACAAGGCTTGGGACTTGGTCTCAGAGGTCTGGGAAGCAACAGGCTTAGCATCTAGTTGCTCAGACAAGGGATGGGACAGGAAGAGGAAGCTTTATACCCAGCGGGGTCCAATCAACATTCTGCTGTTAGTCATCTGACACTACTGAGTCAGCTTCTGGTGGTGGGGTATTAGCAGCAGTTCCCTCCTCAGCCTGTGCAGTGTGGTGGTGCAGCTCCCGCTCAGCAGCCCCGTGGGCTTGAGTTTGAGATCTGCAGTGCCTGACAGAAAGGCTACTCGAAATGTAAGTCTGGACAGACAGGGCTAAGTTGGGGGACATCAACAGGGTGGTTGCCAAGAGGGAAGAGTAGGGGATGGAGTAAAGAACCAAGAGGGACCATCAGAAGAGAAAGAGGGAAGGATAAGGAGCCATTAAAGGAAATGAAGAGACCATCAGCAAAGAGAGAAGAGGGAGAAGCAGAGGCATGGAAACCAAGTCCAGACAAAAAATGAGAGCGTGACCATGTTGAAGGTAACAGCCACATTAAGGAGAATAAGGATAGAGAAATGGCCCTTTCATATATGCAGGAGGTGAATGAACATATATGTATTGTATAAAAAACAAAACCCTAGATTAAAAGAATGTTAATGCAGTAAATAAGGCCTAGAGCCACATACTAAATAATGATGATAAAACAAAATATGGAAGAGCTGTTCATTAAATGAGCACTGTCCATCCTGTTCCCTGAATGAGACAGGGGTCTTGTGGAAAAAATAGTATGTGATCATGTGAAAACTGTGTCATAATCCATAACACACAAGAGGGCCAAATTAAGGTTGCACAGGCAGCCTTAGTTCTGACATTTTCTAGCTTTTGAATGCTTGGCTTTGTAATCTTAATGTTCTTTTAACATACACCTCTACCTCGATATAACGCTGTCCTCGGGAGCCAAAAAAAATCTTACCTCGTTATAGGTGAAACCGCGTTATATTGAACTTGCTTTGGTCCACCGGAGTGCGCAACCCTGTCCCTCCCCCCGGAGCACTGCTTTACCATGTTATATCCGAATTTGTGTTATATCAGGTCACGTTATATCGAGGTAGCGGTGTACTTTGGATGTAACATACATATAATACTTTTTTAAATCATTTTCGACAGTCCAAAGTAGGGATAATAGACAATAAATTTAATGCAGTAAACAGAAAAGCTGTTTTTTTCCCCTAAACTAATGGCAGCAATTTAAATAAATCTACATATTTTCAACCAAGAAAATATCTTATTGTGATAGGGATGACCACAAAGTATGATGTGCTTCTTTACTGTCAAATTACCTGATCCTGTAAAAAGATCAGAAATCCCCAGTCCCCAACTGATAACTCATGGGCCAATTGCTGTGCAAAGTCCCGCTGACTTTATCAACCAAAGTGTAGAGTCTGAGCCAGCTCCTGCTGAATTATGAAACACAGGTGCTGGAATAGGAGTGCTGCCACACCCCCTGGCTTGAAGTGGTTTCTGTTGTATACATGGTTTACAGTTTAGTTCACAGTAGTGTTGAACTATGCTTGGTAGTGTTTACAGGACTGAGCCTGTAGTTGCTATGAATAAAGGCACTTGACACCCTGGATGAAATCCTGGCCCCACCAAGGCAAAACTCCCATTGACTTCAACAGGGACAGGACTTCACCTCATACCTCCCAACTCATGCAGTGGGGATATTTTAGCATGGCAAACTCAACCATCATCGTATTGTTTCATGTAAGAGTTTACTTCTGGAAAATGTTCTGATTTACTCTCTCATTTGTGCAGCTTAACAAACAGCACAGGTGACCAGGTGAGACTGCTTTCTGGACAAATATTCAGCC